GGATACTGACCAGTGCCTTGCTAAGGTACCAAGCATTGGAAAATTTTGTGATTACACACACACACAAGTTTTTCCTTTAGTGGTAGTGGAAAATATCTCTTCACTTATTTAATTTTTTTGAGCTGATTCATAAGTAGAGGACTTTCGGTTATTTTTCTCTAATTATTTGATGATTAGTGCATGCATCCAATCTGTTTCTGCTTCTCTCATTCCCTGATTTTCAGAGTAATAAGCCTGTCTAACCCCTTCTTCAGTTTCTGCCCTTGAACAAGGGAAACTTCCTTATTCCTTACTCAGAAAGGTTCTTTAGTTGTTTTAGTCCCATACTCCATCACTAAACGTGCCCCTCTAGAAAGACCCATAGCCCAGTGTATTTTTTTTCCTTAGGTAAGTTAATTTTTACAATATATTGTTGCATGTTGTACTTTTCCTCATTTTTTATTTATTGGATGTGTACTTTAATGATGATCTCCTATCACTGTATACTCCAAAGTTTTTGTGAGCTTAAAGTGAGTAAGTGTTCCACGTGTTTTCAGGTTTAATTCATTCATGAAAATCGATGGCTAAATCAAAAGACCTCTTATTGACCATGCGTTGTGTGCCAGTAGACAGTTACTGTCCATCAACTGATATGCAATAACTTGTTCCTTTGCAGTCAGTTCCTTTGTATTTGCTTCTACTTTTCTGTAAGTTTTTTTCATATTCAAGCCAAGATTTTAAAATATCAGATGAATCCATTTGAGATTTTATAGCAGCACCCTGCACATTCGGTGGGAGTTTTTCATGGTTAGTGCTAAGGAGATAGTATTCAAGAAACACATGATTTTGTATTGGTCAATGTACAAATATAATTAATACAACCTTACTGCATAATTTCATGAAGCTTTAGTAATTTACTGTTGTTTATCTGGTTTGTATGTACATATGCCTAAGGGAAAGAAAAGGTTTTAAATGTTTTTTAAAAGGCATCATAAGGGGTATTAGCTATATGATGTATATTAACAGATGTTAGTGCTGCTTAGGACAACAGAAGCTTCATTTTTGTCTTTTCCTTCATCAAAGGAACAGAAACATTTCAGTCATAAGCATTATTCAGTTTATATTTTTTCTCTGTGTTTTGCTAAAAAGAAAGAAGAAAAATAAAGAGCTACCTGATCATTTTTAAACATTGTATGTATGTTATACTTGAGCATGTACACATATTTTATTATTGTTATGGTGTGATAATTGTTAAAAGTGTGGTACTGCTTCTTTTAGAACTAAAAAAAAAAAAGCAAAGATGACTACAATATTAAAATGGTTTTTAATAAAGACAATCATTCTTTAGGTACAGTATAAAATGTATAGTATAAAGTGTAGTATAAAAAAAAACTAAAAAGGAAGAAAATGCTTCTGTCAGGGTCACTTAATTCAGCTGCTTCTGAAATAGCTTAGTTTGTGAAAACCTACTCCAGTGTTTTTTCAATAAGTAATGTCTTGTTATGATGGCAAGTAAAGCATCACTTCTACCTCTTTTTTATCACTAGTATTAAGGGAAGGGCGTAGATTTGTTCATTGATGAGCAGCATGTTGCCATTGCAATTTTGAAAGTCTTAACTCATACTCTTTCCTAGCAGTTTATTTAAAAGACAAAACAATCCACCTTGTTGTCACAGAGGTTGACATGTCAGATGCAGTCTGGCTGTTGAATCACTCCACTGCCGTTACTCCAGTGCAGCACTAATGTAATCTTACTTCCCTTCTTTACAAAAGAAAACTTTATCTTAGATCTAATTTTCTGGAAAGAAAATTTATTTCTTTTTGTATTGGCTATAAAATGAAGTTGAACACTAGGGAAAATGTGTGTAAATAAGGAAAAATGAATGGATGCCAGCTGCTCCCTTTCGTTCCTGATAAGATTTTTAGAATTGATGTTGTTTTCTCTTTATGATGCATGAATGCTAATGTATTGACCAGGAACCCTTTTCTCTGTAAGACATCTGAGCTTTCTACAAATATTTGAAACATTTCAAACTCATGCACTGATCTCTGAATAGTCACTGGACTCTCATGGAGGTTGATGACAAGAGACTCCTTTATGTTGTAATGGAATCCAGAACACAGTAAGAATCTGTTCTTACCTTCTCCCCATCACAGCTGTAGGTGAAATGACTCCTCTGCTCTCTGGAAGGAAGTTGTATTAAACAGTGTCCTGTTTTAATACCGTGGAAGGTATTAAACAGTGTCCTGTTTTAATACCGTGTTTCAACATACTGTACAGACAGTAACAGAAGATAAGACAGCACAGATATTCTTCCTGAATTTCAGGATTCCTTTTCCTTAATTTTTTACCTGTCTTAATTCTTTATCTTCTTTCAAGAGAAGATAGCAAAGCCAACCTTGATTTGAGAGGAATCTTACACCCTCTGGGATGGTGAAACTCATGCCTCACGTCAAAAGTAGTTAAGAAGTCTTTTCGTTTCTTTTTATATTAGTCAACATCTCTGTAAACTAAGGCTAGAACATGAGTTTGAGTGCTATCAGACAGTTATCTCTACTCTTGAATGACTGGCATGCCCATGGCGTGGTTTTGGCCAATGCCTGTGAGCACTCCCTGAGCTACAGCAGAACAAGGGACTGTGCACAGGAGTCATACAGATAAGACTAACAGGATTGAGTGGGAAGGTTTGTCTGTGGGGACACAAGAGCTACCACTCTCCTTCTGGCATGTTTTATTTATGACTGTACATGTAGCTACGCAGTCCATTCCACAGCATCAGAAATGGATGAGAAGTTTACTGAAGAAGAGGTCATTTGAGTAGAAACACTTATTTCACTTATTACTTTGGTCCCTCCAGAAGCCTTTTTGACAACAACAGGGGTGGCCAAAACTGATATTCTCCATGTTTTTCATTAGACATTAGTCTATGTTCTCCATTAACTTCAACAACCAGCAGTCCCTCTGCATCACTACTGGAAATTACTGTACTGGTAGCTTTTCTGTGTGTCATCCATCCTTGTGGTGTTAAGTACTGCCTGCAATAATAACTGGGCTGAAAAACCTTAATCACTAGCACAGTATTTGGCAAGTTAGTTCATATAGATTAAAAGGCCCACAGCGAACAGAAAAACCTCACATCTGTATGAGAATCAGGAGTAACTTTACTATTTTTATAATAAAAGTCTTAGTGTGACCAGTATGATTTTTTTTTTCATTTAAATAGATCCCACAAGCATGATATATATGGTGTTTGTGTGTTGGGAACACAAGCATTTATTTTGTACAGACATATGATTGTATTAGGTTTCTAAATTACTTACAGCACTATCAGCAGAAGCTACAGGCTTTGTGATAAGATTTGCACAGAGTGGAACTGTTTTAAAAATCAAGGGGTCTGTTTCAAAACAAAGCTAAGTAGAGAAGGTCATGCAAGCTTTCCTTTGTGGAAGTGTGGAGTTTTCCAACCACTACAGACCAGTTTCTAAGCTGCCATTTCACACTCAGTTATTTGTCATGTTGGGTGTCAGTGTGTGCGTTCTGGCTCCCTCCAGAGCAAGTGTCAGGTTCTGACTTTGTAATTCAGGTGTAATCAAGTTCCTTGTCTTGGGGCTTGCACAAAGATCAGGAAGACTTGATGCATATTCTGTCAAATCTGGCAGTTGTTAAGAGTTTTAGCACAATACAGGTTGAGCTGTTCATAGCACAAAAGAACTGGGTGCAACGGGGTACAAGGTCATCTCAGCTCATGATTTTTCTCCATACAACCTGCACCTCAATGTTTTCAGTAAGGATTTTGATCATGTGTCTCTATATGTCTAATAATGTCTAAAATTAATGGAGGAGAGTGGAGGAGGCACCTTTCATAAGTAACATTTCATCTCCCTGCGGCCCCAGACCGTGAGTGTCTGACCTGGCTGCAGCATGGGCCACAAGGCAGCTGTGCTAGGGCACGTTGGCCCTCTGGGGCCATGTCTTCTCCTCACCAGGCTTAGTGGCAGCAGAGTGGATGCTGTCCTGTGGTACGTGCGTGGTTTGCCTTGCAGAGAAAGGTTAAGATGAAATTAAATAGGCAAGCAGAACAGAAACGAAAGCGGATTTCCTCCAGAAATAAGAAAAAAACCCCTTGCCATCTTGTCAGCACATCCTCTTCAACATTGAAAGCAGCACTAAAACTTTTCAAGGTGCAAAACATTAGAAAGCCAGCATCCCTACATAGACATTCCATGGGCAGGATTGCACGATTTTTCTCAGTTCATGAAAACTTAAAAACCCCCACCACAAAAGCCACTTCATCTCCCATTTAATAGGCTTGGTTCTGTTTCTTTATATGAAGCTTCTAAATTTTAGAGCATTTCACTAGATCTCTTGCTGCAGCTTTTGAACCTCTAATTAAATTGGGATTCCTTAATACATTTACAAAAGGGAAAAAGAAGAGAATACAGTAGAGGTGTGCTGGGGACAGACTAGAAGAAGAACCTAGAGCACAAATACATAACAAACCGACTGTTATTTCTGACTGGTATGACTAGTTTTCACATAGTGGTAAATTTTAGCTCTGGAGACTTTGTGGGCAATGGAAGTATTTACAGTGAGTTTCTATATGCTGAAGTTAGGCATTTTGGTAGCAACATATAATTTTGGAAAATGTGATACTCCCACCATAAGTCATCAAGCAAATTCCCTACTACTAATTAAGTAATACAGATAATTGCCTTATTTTTTTCCTAAAAATTGTTTTAATTTTAAAATTAACAACCATTTGTAACTAAGCAGGACTGCCCTGTCTTTCTTTTACAAGTATGGGTTTTGGAACCATGCGTGCAGGTTTTTGTGGTTGAGAGAGCTTTACTGACTTGGAGAGGTGTTTGTTTCTGTTTGTATGAACAACAGCAGTTTTCTGAGTATTTTGAGTCTGAAAATAACTAAAGAGAGTTGGTTTATTTTAATGCCAAAGATTTCTTAAAAATAAAGGATAGTAACCTGAATATTAATTTTTGCTTTGGCCGTTTTCTCCCTTTAGGTTTTATGGCAGGCATACAGAGGAACCCCCAAATGTCACAGTATGGACCTCAGCAAACTGGACCTTCCATGTCACCACACCCCTCACCTGGAGGCCAAGTGCATCCTGGAATGGGTAGCTTTCAGCAGAGTAATTCAAGTGGTACTTATGGGCCTCAGATGAGCCAGTATGGACCACAAGGTAACATGCTCACTGGTAATAGATATGATAATTTTTATTTTTTTTTCAGCCTATGGATGTATCGTGTACTTAGGTAGGTGATTTCTTAAAAACAACAAAAACCACACACACAATACACTCTCTAAAAAAAAATGCTAAACAAATAAAGCTGTCATACGAAGGTGGAGCTGCTTGTGGAAGAAGTTGTTTCTATTTTTAGCACCTTCCTCTGCATAAAATTAGTGACCTTAAATTAGGCAAGGGAATCATGAATCTGTGGCATTGCCAGTTCTATTGTTTAGGAGCCCAAGCATGTCATCTGTGTGATGAGGCTGCGTTTGAGCAAGCAAGGAATAAGGGTCACAACACTGATCCCAAAATAGGACTTCTTTTCTTGGATGAAATCCCAAGGCCAACCTGAAATTGCATGGTAACTGTGAGGGTAAAGTCTTCTAACAAGCATAATAATACAGTGGCTACTGTGGAAATAGAGTATTGAGCTCTAATGCATATGGTTTGTGAATCTTAACTAACCCTTCAGACTGAGAGAGACCGTTCCTTTTATTTTGCTTGTTTGACAGAATTGATGAAGGAGTAAAACAAAAATAGAATACACAGTTTCTGCCCCTGGACAACCTTGAACTTGTCTATTGTTTTGCCTTTAATGGATAACCTTTATAAAGTATGCATCTGTTTAAGGGTTTAATGAAGTTGAAGTCAAGCCATGAAATATATAATGGGCTGTATTTTCTTCAAAGGTACATAAAGAAGCTTTTCGATTTCAGCGCTTCCTACTATTGCTTTCTTACTTAAAAGCCTCAAAAAGGACTGGTGCTAGCAGTGGGAGTTTCTGTAAGGGCTTGATGACTTGCCCATGCTAGCAAGGAGGGTTATTTTAGTCTCCAGAGTTTCTGAGAACTAGTTCTGATGTTTGTTTGCAGGGAGCCTTGCTGCCCTGTGTAATGTTCCTTTCTCTTCCGTCTCTGGATAGCATTTGGTTTAGTGTTCTGAGCAGAGGGCTACAAGCCAACATTTCCCAGTTTCTGATTTTGGCTCTGCCTTTTACATCATCTTTCAGCTTAGGCAAGTAGATTCATTTCTCTGCTTCGCTTTCTGTAACTGTAAAATGAGGCTAGTAATGCCTTATAGCCATGTGTGAAGATTAATTACCTAACTCCAGTTGAGTGGTGCTTTCCTTTTATTTGGAAACCATTTTGTGGCCGTAAAATGTTGTCCAAGTGCTTATTTTTATCTGCACAGTGAGCAACTAGCTTAACTGGTAAAAACTCCAGTGGATTTATGATGTGCTGTCCTGACTTCCAGCTGTACTGCTGCTGCTGAGATTCCAAACCATGGGAATAGTGGGTGTCAAGTGCAGTAAAACATTAGCCATCCACACTGATTGAATGGAAGGGTTTTTGTACTAAATCAATGCATTTAAGTAACACGCCGAATACTACTTTCTTTTTTGCTTGAGTTCAGCAGTTCTTTTCCTCCCTCTGTAGATGAAAGTGCCTATGTAATGATTTTATGGGTCATGGTCAGGAAGAAACTGCTATTAAAAAGTGAACTTGAGGGACAGGAAGAAAATGAGCATCATTGTCATTAACAGTCCGTTTCAGAAGGGTTTGGTGAATAGTGTGATGGATGAAAAGTGTGTTCTTCTGCCAGCTCTTAGAAAATACTAGTGATCCTGTGCATGGTCATCATAAAATTAGAGCCTTGCAGACTTTCAGCTCTGTAGGTAACAATTAGACTAAAAGAATACTACATTTTCACCAGGCTAATCTGACCATTAATAAAATCCAGGGATGAAGATGATGATATTTACAGGTCACGTATTTACCTGAATTTAAGTTTTTAATAGCGTTTTTTCATTTTTAATGAAAGTAATCTGTAATTGCAACTCTTAACATACCCTCCTACAAAGCACAATCATATGCCAGCAATGATGAATATATAATAATGTTACCTCATTTGCCTTTTACTGCCAAAATAACAAATATGTCAAAATTACCTGGGTTGCACCCAAGTTTTAAATTGTTAAAGTAATTCTCAAGGATCTGATTTGTTTTCCACGTTTTGTTCACATAGGCCTTCCACCAGAACATTGTTAAGCACAGGCTGAGTTTGACAGGGCTACTTGTATTTTTATATCTGGACACTAAGCTTTTGATCCAGCTCTGAATGCTGGATTTCACTGTGTGCTGTCTTGAAGACCATTGCTCAAGGCTAGTGTCCTCTAGTGCAGTGGAATTACTCACCATAGTAAGACTGCACCAGTAGGTTTGGATTGGAAGAATTAGGCCCCAGTTCATGAGAGCAGAATGATCCATTTCATGCCTATGGTTGATTTATTTGATTTTCATGTGTTTACATGACACTTAGATCTATAATAAGAACAGAATATATTTTCCCAGGAAGCAGTTCTGTACTGGGGACCTAGTCCAATTCTGTGAAACCGTTTCCTACAAAAATAATAAATGGCTTTGGCTCCACATTTTTTATGTCTGGGATACAAAACAGGAGCATGCAGTACAGAACATTAGTTTTAATTTTTTATTAAATCCCAGCATTTTCATGTCCTCAAGAGTAAAAAAACAAAAGCAGAGCAAGAAGGTAAGTTTTTACTGAAAGAAACAGTCTTTGATTTGTATTTGGACAGCATCTAGCTCGGGGGTTAATGAAGCTCTGGTCTATAACCTGAGCATCAGACTGCTGCCACAGCAAAATATCCCTTAAATGCACTCTGGAGAGCAGTTAGATGCTGTAGTCAGTTGGATCTTTTAAGGCTGGGGCAGAGAAAAACTTCCTGTGAATCAGTAGAACGTCTCAGAAATGTATCCTGTCTCCCTAACTTTTCCTACTCAATTCAGTAGTAAAACTGTTCTGTTTGGGTATAACAAAGAGGAATCACTACTGAGTATGTTTGAACCACAACCCCAGAACTTCACAGTAAGTTATACCCCCTTTTTTAGTGGTAAAGTAGTATGAACTGAGTATTTGTGCTTTGCAACTTTCAATGCTGGACTCACTTCACAATAGCATTTTGCTGTCTAGCTCCCACTGATTTTAATCCTAGATTTTAATTAAAATGTTAGCATCTTAAGGATGAGATTCCCTAAGTATCTTGAGAGTCTGGACCACTGAATCCAGACCCACATATGCAACAGCCTGTGGAGTTAAGACTTACATATCAACTGTATCTTGCTGAAGTCCCCCAGGTAAAATAGTTTAGAGGAATTCAGAACAACATGTTTAAATTTTCTGTACAAGAAAAACTCGATGGTTAAATGCACATGTAAAAAATTCTAAAATTATTTTAAGATACTATTTTTAATACTGTGAATCTGACCTATGTCTCTAAAGCAGAAAGCAAAGCTTGCAGTCAGTTCTCAAATTTCCCTCTTTTCAGTTTGCCTAGAAATGGCAAGATATCAGAGCACTTTGTTCAGCAAACCTGAACAAAGTGGACCAGAGTTTCAGCGGTAAGTATGAACATCTGTCTTTGGCAGGTTGTTAGCGTTTTTTTTACTTTATCTTCATTACACTTTTTTTTTTCCCCTCCCGATTCCAGTTATTGCTTTGGTTTTTCTCATGCATTTGAGATGTTGTCTCTCTGGGTACAATTCTACTTTGCCAAGAGGGAGCTGGAATCAAAAATCCCTTAGATATGGAGGGGAGGAGTTGTTCGGTGGTATTGTACAGCCACTGTTGCCAGGCTTGTACCCACTTGAAAAGTGTGGGCTCTTGGACTTGGCTGCCTGACACGTCCAGCTGATGTGGGCTGGCCTAGCATCTGCTGCATTCATTGTGTTTAATGCTGCATCCATCTGTTTTCTGTCAAAGCCACTGCCAACAAATTACTAATCTATTAGAGAAACATGGAAATAAGATTGCGCTCCTCATTCCTGGCAATTCCTCTTGTATTTTGTTTGGCTTTTATTTTGCGCTTTTTTTTTCTTTTTCCTGTTTTTTTTTTTTTTTTGATCTGAAAGGTATGAGAATAGCTAGTACTTGAGGTATTGAGGAAATGCTTAGGGGGGAAAAAAACACGGAAAAAAACATAGAAACTTGTTTTCCTTACTGAAAAGATGATTTCCCTGTACTCTTGGATGTGTATCCCTGGAGATGAATGATTAGGAGCTATTTTAACTGAGCCACATATTTTTATGGAGAAGATTCCACTGTTTTTTCTCTGTTGTGCTTATACTGGAAAAGCCAAAGCATGAAAGAAGAGATTTTCTATCCCAATTCAAAATAGCATCAAAACAGCAAGAGTGTTCAGCATTGGTGTCTGCTCCTCCAAGCATGCTGTTGAACTGTACTTCCTAGACCCTAAATGACAAAACAAATTGGCTTTATGTAAATTGGACTGACAGTAGCTCCCAGTGATTATGGTTATCAGGTCTGCTAGTCTAGGGAGGGAATTTGCTTCACTTTGGGTGCTGTTACATGTACATCAGATGCATTAACTGGCTGTGCCTAATCTTTGAGTGCACAAATACACCATCTTGCTGCATTACATTTTTCTTGCGCAAAGCAGCTGGAAAACCAGAGCAACATCCAAGTTGTATGCTACGCCTGTAACACATAGCAGAGCAGTATGAAACTCGTCAACCCTTCTGTGTGCAGTCACATATGTAGGATCAGAAGCTTGACTTAAGCAGGTCTCAGCAAGCAAAACTCTGGGGGCAATGGCTCGCTGAGCAGAGAATAGTGAGCTGCCAGCGGTCAAGCCTAGAAGAGGAGAAGTGACAGGGCAGTCTGAAAACAGCATAAAGCTGAATCTAGAGCCTTTCATCTTTGTTGAACCACATATTGAGAATCCTTCTAGGAGGACCCCCAGGTGGAAACTTGTTTTTTAAAACAGAAGAGAATGGTTGTTCCACTTCCTTGGGAAGCATAGGTCTCACGCCTTCTCACTGAGGAGATCTTGTAGCAGAGTGAGTCAGTTACAGGGTGGGGAGGAGAGGAAGATTAGCCAAAGCACAGCAGCAGGATCATATTAGTTAATTATGTGTGCATTCAAATGATGGATGAATATATTTATTTTAAATATAAACAGGAGTTGCATGCCACCAACTCCTCTGCCTGGTAGCTGAGGCCTGAGGAGAGACATGGCTGATATCCACATTCAGAGGAAGAGTCCAACAGCTTCTGCCTTCAAATGAGCGTGGGAATATCTGAGAGTATTCAGGAAACTCTGCTCTGTGGCATCCCACAGGGAGGGAATGGGTCGTGTTTCCACTATTCTGGATGAGATGGAAATGAAGACAAGTCAAAACTGATGACTGTGATCCATTTCCTAAAATAGTTTTCTATCATATCTTTAGCTTTCTTTTTTTTTTTCTCTTTCTCATGCTGCTTGGGTTTGTTTCTGTAACACTGCATACTGTAAACTCGCCTTTTCTTGAGATTTCAACATGACAGGAAAATCAGCACTCAAACAAGTTAAGGTGCTGCAAGTGGAGCACTTACTCTAGTGACAACATAGATTGAGGTCAGCCAGGTTTTCATGCCATCCTTCATAAGGCACCTGCTTATATTAGCATCTTTGTACTATTGCTGATTACTCATGTTAATACTAGTTTTCCCAGAGAAGGTGCACTGTAAGCTACCACCCCTTCTGCTGGCATAGCCAAACTGAACTTACCAGGAAGGCAGGATATAGGGCAGGAGGGAGCGAGAATCTTTCTTGGAGCCCAACAGCCATCCTCACCAGTCCATGCCAAATCATCTCTGACACAAATGGGCAGAACAGTTAGGAGCAAGAAGCCTGTTGCTGAAATTGGCGAAAGATAAAGGAATGAGAACATGAAATTACAAAAATAAGATTCTTCCTTGAGCTTATGTAATGGGCTCCTTACATGCCACGTCCCTCTTTACTGCAGAAGGGGGTTGTGTACTGTGTGCTGTGCTGTTAACCCTCTGCTTTTCTGTATTTGTTGTTGCCTCATAACACATATGAGACAGAAAATGTTTGAGGGTACCTGAAAATCAGATTCATAAGATCATTCAGGTTGGAAGAGTGCTCAGGTGTTATTATTGGCTGACCTTCTATTCAAATTAGTGTCAGATAAAGAATCAGAGCAGGTTAGTCTTGGCTTTATCCAACTGAGTTTTGAAAACCTCCAAGCAGGGAGTCTGAGTAACCTCTTTGGGCAGCTTGTTCCACTGCTTGTCTGTCCTCAATGTAAAAAAATTATCTCGACTTTGAGGCCAGCATGGTTCACTTTAGTTCACATGCATAAGTTCTGCAGCTGTTTACTTCCTAAACAGAAATATTTGCTCAGAAGTTTTAATGTTTTTCTCTGTGCTTTTATCATTTTGTTCAGGAAACTACTCCAGACCACCGACGTACAGCGGTGTGCCCAACACAAGTTACAGTGGCCCAGGACCTGGCATGGGTATAAATGCCAACAGTCAGATGCATGGACAGGGGCCAAGCCAGCCTTGTGGTACCATGCCCCTGGGACGGATGCCATCAGCTGGGATGCAGAGCAGACCATTTCCTGGAAACATGAGCAGTATGACCCCCAATTCTCCTGGCATGCCTCAGCAGGGAGGCCCTGGGATGGGCCCACCTATGCCAACTGTGAACCGTAAGGCACAGGAGGCAGCTGCTGCAGTGATGCAGGCTGCTGCAAACTCCGCTCAGAGCAGGTATGCCTTCAGGTGAAAGGAGTTTAAATAAGTAGGAATGTTTGTCGTTTCTGAAATAATTGCACTGTATAGGCCTGTGAATATGCGTTTATACATATTCTGGCTGTGCCCTTATCTCTGGGAGGAGATAATGTGTGGGAAGAATACTTTTCCTTAAACATAAGGGGAAAGCATGTTGTTGTGTGTTTGAATTATCCTCCCGAAAAGCAGCTGTGACAATGGAGATGATGGCCACTTCCAGCTTAGTTCTTGGCACTGCAGGCTTTAGGAAAACCAGCAGGATTGGTGACATTAGGAGTCAAAAACAAGCCCTCTGCAACTTCAAATTGATTACCTGGTTATATTTTTTTTATCTCCAGTAAAGAGGGGGCCTTGACATGTCCTTGACAGCTTGCCTCTGCTATAGAGTAAGGAAGCATATGAATCTGCCCATCAGCTCATGCATTTACTACCCACATATTGGGCAGCAGTGCTGTTGCGGTTCTCCTCTGCAGGACATTCTTGTTTGTAGGCAGGGGGGGAGAGGAGGGCAGGCTGAGGAGAACAGCTAAAGGGGAAAGGCAGAAGGAGAAAAGCAAGCTGTAGTTATCTGGAGTTGGTACCTGCCACTTGTGCATCCATAAGAGAGAACCTGCAAACAGGATTGTAGAGACTGGAGGCATCATCCCTCTTCTTGTCTTCCCTTTGAGCAGTGTTGCTGTTTGTACATGGATGTATGTCTGTCCATGCTTGTTTTTAAGATGCCTGAATACTTGCAATTAAATTAGATTTTATGTGAAATTTTTCAGATTAAGTAATTTCCACATTTCTCTGGACTCAAATAACTCCTGGCATATTTATTAGCTTTTTCTCTTGCAAGAAGTTCCATCATATCTGAGAATTACACAAAGCTAGTTGGACTCTTCTGGTGAACATGTTAATATGTGTGTGTATTACACATCTTGCACTTATGCATATGTGTACACAGATGCACGTATACTCATACAGGTATTTATTATTCAAGATGCAATGTAAAATAAGAAATAGGAAGCTAACATGTCCCTGTATTTGTTGCTTTCTTGTTTTGTGAGTGTGGAAGGCAGGTGGCTACTAGTGATAAGCAGCAGCAAACTTTTAAAACAATAACAGTAAATTTAGTGTACTTCATGTACACTAGAATAGAAACAGACTCCCTTAAAATAGACCATGCTCCAGCAGATATCTGTGAACCAGCAGTCTCTTGCTTCTGTTGGTTAACAGACTTGCCTAGTAGGATTTATGGAAGTCTGCTTCTGTCTGTCTGGTTTAGGCTATAAGCTGATAGGTCAGGCACGAAGGAATAAATAGGCCATCACTGCAGCTGTAGGAGCAGGATTTCTGTATAATCGCAGAACGAAAGGTAAAGCTCACGTTTGTTGGTCTTGACAGCAAGAAAAGACTTTGTGTTAAGTGGAAAGAATTTGGTTGTGATTCAACTTACACATTGGGCATAGTGTGTGGTGTTTGATCAAAAACTAGGTTAAATGATTACCATTCCTATCTCACACCTTCCTGCCAAGTCAGTTTGTAAAACTGCTTTTTGTTTTTAGCTTTGCCTGGACAAAACTGTGCTGTTTCAGAGCCTTCCCATCACACATTGGCAATTCCAGTGATCCAGCACCTGTGGAAGGGCTGAGGAATCACTGAAGCTCTATTGCGAATACTGGCAAAAGGGCTATTTATAAACTGCAAATTGAGAGAAACTTGTCACACTGCTCTGATGTCAGTAGGTTGCAAACACACTCTTTGATCTCAAGTCAACTGTAGAGGAGAAAGCATAATGGCTTTTGGCGACTCCTGCAAGTCCTCCAGGCCTGCGTATGAAAGGAATGTACTCAACAATGACTTGGTTTTGTGATACAGAGCAAATCCAAAGAGGCTGTTCTTCAGTTCTGCTTTAGACCACCAAATATTAGGTCACCTGCTTTTCCCAGCCAGTCAAGGGCTGGTGGACAGCCCATTTTCTTCACAGCACCCCAACTATGGCAGCACTCAGGCTCCCTTGGTGCACCAGCCTCAGTACAGGTAGGTAGCAGTGTAAACTGGACTTGCTGTGGGACCTTGGTGGTTTTTTTTGTTTATAAACATGCCATCTGGGTGCTGAAGGAGTATAAAGATCACCGAAAGATACAGAAATACTTGCATTGTAGAGGGATTTCTAGTTTTTTGTTTTCTTTTTACTAATGCCACTGTGACAGTTCAGTGAAAATCTGCATGTCACTCACTCACACATCTGCATGGCTTTTGACATGGCTCCGTTCCCTTGCTCCTAAAAGGGAAATGAAGAACCTCATTACTGAGAAGGAATGAGATCTGTCTTCCCCCTGACCCAGGGCATCATCTTTCTTTCCTCATTGGTGTTTTTGTCTCACAGCGGTGCTGTGCAACCACGTGTTCTGGACTTGCTGGTATTGTCACTGCTGCCTAGGCAGTGAACTGCAACACCCAAAGTATGATCCCTTTCTAGGAGGTGTTGTAGTGCAGGAGTGATTACAGGGTTTCTTAATGGGATTTTCAAAGAAGTTTTATTACATTGTAGTTGAGCATGCATGTGTTTGGAAAGTTTCAGTTAGTCACTAGAACAGTTTTTAAGATCACTAAGTATTCCTTGCAAAACATTTGCCTGAAATGCAGCTACTCTTTTCTCAACAGTCCTTCACACTGTGATTTCTCGAACCATACCACAAATTACAGAGCTGGGAGAAGGTATCTACTCTGGCTCCCAGCCTGTTGCTCCCTCACAACCAAGTCCATCTTCACCTGAGATTTGAGCTTTATGGACTTCCCTGCCATCATGTTATTTCAGTTGTTCCTCTGTAGAAAATCTGTAATACCCGAATAACTACTGCCTTCATGGTAATTAACAAGTTTTAATTACCAGTTTTCTGTAGCTGCTCTTGTTAGGTCTTTTCCTTAATAACATCTTTCATTTATGTGCATAGAAAAAATAGAAAGAAAAGCAAAACATTAAAACACAAGTCTACTGATTCTCCTGTTCAAAAAAAAAATAATAGTGAAATAGGAGAGCACTCCCACCATACTACTTTGCCTAACTGGGAAGATATCCACTCTTATATGCTAATGTGTTGAGTTTATAAGTTTCAGCTGTGGTGTTCAAAAATGGTTGAGTTTTTATTACTGTAAAACACACTCCTCTGTGTAGAATTAAGAAGAAGATTAAATGTTTGTGTCAGAGTCATGGTTATACAGCAGTATTTCTGTACAAGTTGTTTGTGATCCCCTTCAAGGTCAACTTGTTGATTCAGTAACCAAGTATCAATAGGGGAGAGAAATTTATCTTCAGCTGTTAATCCACAGGATCTGTCCTTTACCAACTTAGCAGTCTCATTTAGACAAAGAAGGCTGGTTTGCTCTGCCTCGCCAAGCCACACTAAGCAGCTATGTAAAATGAATTTAAATGGCATGCATCAGAATAAAATCACTTCCACTGGGGCACAAAATCAATGTTCGTTAATCAGGGCTGGATGATCAAGATCTGAGTGTCAGCCAGTTATAGCTAGGTATCGTCCTCAGTGCAGACCATCACCCTTTTCATTAGAGAAGATAAAAATCATATAAATAAAAGAGTGGTGGCTGTGGAAGATACTAGGTCTACACCATTTGAATTAGCCTTTGACCTCATCTTGAGGCCTGCTTTATGTTAAGCTTAGCTTAATTTCTACAGCTACATAATACCTTCCCTGTAACCTAAAATCTTGTGATGTGCCAGTCTGTCTTGTGCAGGCAGTGTTTCCCAAATAATATTGAGCTAGTCAGGCTAAAGAAAGGTGTTTTTAAGACCTCTTCATTGAACCTCTTCATTGTTTCATAGTACCCAGGGTGTTTAAACTTGCTCTGGGTAACAGTTTACAGCAGGCAATGTTAAATAACTCTCTAAGACCCTATGTAGTAATTCACTTTATTTTCAGGAAGACAGTGTAAAGAAAGTGCAAAGCAGTGTTTCCGTTTTTATATTTATCTTAGTCTCAGCATAAGTAGTTAGGACTAGCATTGAGTAGTTAGGACTAGATGTTGAAGACTTAACATATCCATGGAAGAAAAGACTCTTCTTAACTTAGGCTGACACTGACTGAGACCCCAATGATGGTTCTGCTGCTGGAGACTAGAACCCAGTGGAGGCCTTCAAGAACCAGGTGGCTCCAGAAGATGAAGTCTTTCATCACACTGTGGTTCTTAGAGCAGTGCATGTATTTATAGTGATAGATAAATGTTTCTGTTTGTACAAACCCACAACACAGTAAGCCTTCAGTAAAAACAATTTTAAGCAAATGAGATAGTGTTTTCCCTGTTGATGTCAAAGGCAGCAAATTTAGCCAGTATCTTCTAGTACCAACCAATTTTAAGTTTCTCACTTTGTGGATGCTCAGCTTGAAACTTTTCAAGGACTATGTGTGCACTGTCTGTGAGCTTTTGTTTCCTATAGCAAATGCCCAGTACAGACTTTTGAAAATTGATTATTGACACCTGAAGTCAACAGATGTTTTCAGAGCTAGATGCTTGTCACCATCATTTTCAGCATCTCTCATGCTAGCAGTGAGTGTCATTCTGAGTATGTCTTCTTAGCATTTGGAAGTGTGACTGTAGTATATGGAGAGGTAAAGACATAGTTGCAAAATAGCTGTCTTGTATGCTATTAGCAGTGTGGCCTTAGAAGATGTAATTCAGTGCTAGCTGGCTGTAAAATGCACATCCAACTGGATGCTGAAATGAGCTTTTTGCTGGTGCAACTGCAGTTATCAATATCTGAACTAATGACAATAAAATGAGTTTCGATGTGCATACATGAGAAACAGTCCTATCTTTGAAGGCAGTCTCTTTAACCTCAGTGTACCCTAACATGATTCTCAGGATTGCGTGTTGCAATTTTATAAATTAAAGCAATTTTTTTTATAGATTGAATGAATTTAGAATTCGGTGTTGCTGATTTTAGAGGAGATGATTTAGACATAGTAGTGTATTAA